CTTTTATGTCTGGTTTGATGCACCGATCGGGTACATTTCGATCACGGCAAACTATACGGATGAGTGGGAAAGGTGGTGGAAGAGTCCAAAGGATGTAGAGCTGGTGCAGTTCATGGGCAAGGACAATGTGCCTTTCCATACAGTAAGTCTCTGCTATGTTTCAAACCTTCGTTTCATGAATTTCTCATTCACTTGTCCCTTTCACATATGGAGTCGGTATATTATGATTTTTTCCAGCAAGTACTGCGTTGCCAGATCATTGGGCGTACTATTCTTTCGCCGTTTACTAGAGAATACCGTCACCGTTTACTAGAGAATACCGTGGGCTGAGCACACCTAAGCAAGCTTACCTTAATTTTTCACAGGCCTACCAGACCAGGAAAAAAAAAAATCATTCAAATATCAGCTGTCTTCCACAGGAGTTATATGTTTTTGGTTGATTAGCTTGATCAGCTTGCAGTTCACATGTAACAAATCTGTCGAGTTCCTGATTGATTGACTCAATCAGTTGAAAAATCCACAAATGATTGACTATCGCGACACGTTGGAGAAGTGGTGAAGCCGCCTCCGCTGCTAATAATGCGCCTTCAGTTTAAGGATGTAGGGGCATTCGACCTCTGGGGTCATCAGCGGCTTGTTAGCAGACATCTATGACACAATACTTGTTAATCATCTACTCCTGATCTACTTCTGAAACTACTTAATGAATGTGCTTCTTGATCATTTCTGATACATTACTCCTTGAACAAAAGAAAAAGTGGTTGTGCTTAGCGGTGGAAGTTACCTCCCTTGACTGTTAATATCGCGTCTTCGGCTTATAGGGACTAGGGATGCTATAGGGATTAGGGCTACCCGACTTCTTGGGTCATGTTCAGATTGTTATTGGTCATCTCTGACATTGTGGTCCATCTCTGACATGGTGGTGCATCTCTGACATGATGCACGTCCTTAAGAAAAGGAGGAAGTGGCAAGTGGTGGAAGTCACCTCAACTGTTAATTAATAATATTGCGGCTTTCGGTTTAGGTTTTAGGGGTGTTTCACCTCTTGGGGACTTGGCAAATTAGTACTAGCGATCATGTGGGACGACACAATACTGTAGTAATCCTTCCAAAAAAGGAGTGTCTGCGCAGTGGCTCAGTGTGTGTCATAAGCGGGTATAAAATTACCACAAATGTTTACCTTGGTCCCCTGTCGATGTACAGAAAGTGATTTGCTGGCTGGATTAACCATTCAGATGGCACCGTCATTAAGATCAACGTACTTTTGACGTTTCTAATAAAAAATACTGCTGGGTTGAGGCTGGACACCGATGGGCACAAGATTTGAGAGTTTTGCAGACGGTTTGCGTCTGAATCCCACGGGCTCTTCAGCAGAGTTGCTCCGTCCAAGAAATCACAGGATAGGAAACACTTCTTTCGCAAACTCGTTTTGTAATAGAATCTCACAAAGGTTCCGCTGTACACCGACTAATCAGTGCTTTGGTTCCGTCAATTGATTGTGACGGAATGGTGTTGCAAGGGCAAATGGTTTCACATGCATGTGTCTATCTTGTGGGGCATTTTCGCGCAGTTGCTTGGGACTGCGGAGGAGAGTCGTTGGTGTGTGCTTGGGCGATTGCTTTCAGTGGATTGCTTGAGAGTGGAGACTGAGGAGAGCTGCTTCTGTGTGCTTTTCATAAACCAACACAGGTTATATTTCCGTGCACCCTTTTGGGGACAGCAGAAGAATGGACAATGATGAAGACGATTAGTGTCTGCGAATACTTGAATTATGAGAGCGGTGAGTTGCACTCTGTTGTTGCATTTTCAGTGTTGCAACCTGATGATGGGACATGTCTGTTTTCTTTTTCTGATGCCACACGTCGGTTATTGAAAATGTTGGACTTCTATCAATGCCTGGACGGAGCGAAGGGGGTAAACACAGAGTAGTTGTCAAAGCCGTGATGTCCCATCTGCGACATGAATCTTTTGTCAGTGCATCCACAGGGAGCAGTGCAGACGAAAGGAATCAATGATTAGGGTCATTGCCAATTGTGCAAAGGCCGAATTTCGGCGAGCACCTGTTTCCAAATGTTGTCCAGTGTGTCTGTCTGGTGATCACGGTGGGCAGCAATGGAAAGGGTCTGCTGCTGTTCCCTGACTGATCTCTGACTGTTCTGACTTGGCATTGACTTTGGCTGCTGCTTTCCTCTGCCGTGTACGAGAAAAATACATTTTCTGCACGTTGTGGTGTCGGGTGGGGCTGCTTCCTCCATGAACAACATGATAATGGGGACAGGGATAATGGTTCTGCTGCATGCTCTGCACACGTCTGCGAACAGAGAATTTGTTGTGCACGAGAAAACCTTGAAAAAAGACACTTTCTGAATGCCGAGGGCTGATGAGGCTACGCCCTGCACAAACAGTATAATGGATAAGGAGAATGTTTCTGCACCTTCTGCAAGTTCTTGAACAGGATAATGCTGCTATTAATGCATGAACGTGCATGGACATGCAGAAACGACAATGACCACAAAGCGTTTTCAGCGTTTTCAGGAGGACAATAATGGGCAAATCCTCATGTGCTTGGAAATCTCCGTAAATCAGTGTTGCATATCCTGATGGTCGGCGGCCCTTGACTGGTCGGCACCTACCGGTCGGAGGTCGGCGGCACCCCGCAAAAAAGAAAAAAGACAAAAAAGGGGTCCAGAACCCCTTTTAACTCCATCAACACCCCCATACCCGCCCCCAATACCCCCATACACCCACCAAACACCCCCAAACCACCGCCCAACACCCTCATACCCCCCCAAATACCCCCTATACCACCCCTATAATATGAATATTGTTCGGATCCACCGATGTGTTGTTGCCCTCGTCTGGGTACTGATTGGCCCCCTGTCACATGTTGGTCTAGATGCTTCACAAGGTTGCTGATTGTTTTTGTCAATTAGGGCCATGGATGTCTTTTTGTCAATTAGTGCCATGCATGTCGTTTTTGAACTGCTGGGATCTGAATACCTGTTCCTAGTCCTTCATGACATGCCATGTATAAAAACTTTGGGGTAGGGTGTGAGTAGTAACATCGGTGTGACCAGACCTGCCTCGTGGGTGAATGATACAAACATGTAGCTCTTGGTGAACGGATCATGCGTCTGAAACTTGATCCGTAATCACACGAGGCATTATCCCTAGCCCCTCCCTACTTTAAAGGGAAAAGAGATAAAATCATCGTTGTGACGGGATGAGGTTTGGGAGATGGTTGAAACCCAGACCTGAGTTCGTGCACCTATCGACTGTTGGTACACCTACTGGCCTAGCCTAGTTGGCGCCCCTATCAACTGTTGAAACGCAGACCTGAGTTCGAATTCTGATGGAATTAGATGAGCAAAAATACCTCTGAATTTAGCTGGGGGCTGGTCAGTTCAAAGGATGATATCTCCCAACCGTTACCCTTATGAAAAATAAAAGATTTCGGAGGTGGTTGTGACCTGGCAGCAATGTATTTCTCGATCCTACAGACTGCTGTGTTTGTTTTGCCTCGCTGAGTCATCATGTCGGTCATCAACTCCTCTGGGTGCAGGTAAATTCTCGAAAAGCAGAGGGGTTGGAATCTTTGGCAACGACGCGAAGGAAACTGGAATTCCTCCGGAGGTGTGGAGATATTACCTTCTTGCGAACAGGCCCGAGGTATGGTATTGTCCTCCGACCCTTGCTATCTGTCACACGTCTCCTGCTATTGTCAAATACGTGCGCTCTTCAAATTGATAAGATATGTCACAATATCTGTTGGACGACATATGAAGTTGCCTGCGTATAGTGCATGGGCTTTTAAGTGTCACTTTATCCAATTCTCTTGCTCTCTAGCCATGTCTTTTACTCTTTTGCCCTTGTTAGGAGTCTGAGCATTTTGTCCTCCGGGACATCCGTTAAAATTGGAACGATACAGAGAAGATTAGCATGGCCCCTGCGCAAGGATGACACGCATAAATCGAGAAATGGTCCAAAAAAAAAAAAAAAAAAAAAGGAGTCTGAGCATTTGAGAATTGGTCAAGCAGAATGACCCACCCCAAGTGAGGGCTCTTCTCCGTATGTGTAGGCCCCGTTTGGAGTCGGAGTCTGCCAGACACATCCTAATTTAGTTCTTGAGGCGTGTGTCTGTTTTTGTCAGGAGTCTGTGGGGGCTTTGGCTGGTTCCATATGGTTCTGTGGGGCAGGGGTGAATATCCTTATGATCATCATATCTTTGGATGTGTCTTTTTCGAAAAACGGCCAGATTGAGTCCAAAAAATCCTATTTTACGTCCATGTGTTCATTACAGTTACTGATTTAATTCAAGTGGTTCTGATGTCCGCCTGCACACTCGTGTTTATTCAGCGCATGTGCTGTGTGCACGGCTGTTTCGCATGTCACCATGCTTGTTATTGAACGACAGGCATACCCTTAAAAAAGGTTACCGACATTCGTTCCCCAAGGGCAGATTCCAACTGCTATCTTCGAGAGCTGTCGGAATCCGCAATAAAATTTTGAAGGTGCAATATTTTTCAGGGGGCTTCCAGAGGGGGGCAGGGGGTTAACTTCCACGGGGGGGGGTTGAGTAAGCAAGTTCAATTATCTGCCCCCCCCCCCCCCCCCCCCCCCCCGGTGACTGGAGCACTTAATGGAGTGGGTCATCTGATACTGATACCCCATGAGCTGAAGCAGATATGATGAGAGGGGAGGTCCTTGCCAGAACTTATAGCTCTTCCAGAGTATAGCTCGACAGCAGAAGAGTTATGGGTCCAGCTTTCAGCTCGTGGAGGCAGAGCGTTTTCTGTTTGTTCTTTTCTACATAGGTGAGTTATCAGTCCGAGAATTTGGCAGACTTCCATTTTTATCGAATTTGGCAGACTTGCATTTTTATTGAGTTTGGCAGGTTTCAGATACGGTCTTTCTGTGGCCAAACCTGCAGGAGATAAAAGTCGTTGGAAAGGTATCTTCTGCTGTGGATGGGTGGGTTTAATTAATGACTAATAGTGCTGTTTTGATTGAAATTGGCAGGTTTCAGATGCGGTCTTCCTGTGGTCAGACCTGCAGGCCAAGGTCAACAACGAGCTTCTTGCAAACTTGGGGAACTTCGTGAACCGCTGCCTCATGTTCATCAACAAACCGGCAGGTAATTGAAAATCCTATCGAGCATTTGAGAACCCCTTTGCTTTAGTGTTGTGATGAGGCCTGTAACTGTTCCTGTTTTACAGAAAGTAAACCATTGCAAGTAGGTGATGGATAGAAAACCGTTCTAAATAGTTTGACTAGAATTACATCATGTATGAGAGGCGCAAAGTTACCCATGGACAAAAGGTGTTCAGCATCGTCCTGCAAGACCACGATCTTGCTTGCACACGTGTCCCCATGAACAGATTACAAAAAGGAGTAGGGTTGGGTATGAGTCTGAATGTCCGATGTGAACGTAACTGGCGATTGAACAAACAGTCACCATGAAACAGGGTCCAAGTACGTCCAGAAGAGCGACCTAGAATTGGAACTGGAATTATGATGCAGAGGACATAGCAATGGATAGTTTTGAGCTGAACTGTGGTGACCTTGGGGCAGTCCATTGGACGTACACAGCGGCGAGAAAAGCTCCGGATTTGCAACTGAAGTAGGGAGAGAATGCCCCTTCCAAAAATGTTTGACAGTCTGGAAGCATGAATTCCGAGCTTATGTTGGACTATGAGCCTCTCAGGGAAGACCAGAAGCACTGCATGCGAGCCACCACCCAACCGGGGAATTATACTCAACAATACGACTCGCTCTGGTTCTATCACCTACCTGGCTGTTCATGCAAATGTAATTACTGCAATGTGCAGGCCATAAAATCCCTAGCTGGAGACTAGCTTGGCTGCACATGATTGCACACATGCATGTGTCTTGGATCTGTTTGTGACAGAAGAACAGACAGAAGGGGAAGAAGAAGCTTGGGGGGGGGGCGAGAGAGAGAGAGGAGAGAGAGAGAGAGAGAGAGAGAGAGAGAGAGAGAGAGAGAGAGGCAATGTGGCTAGTGTCTATCCTTCTATCTTGACCTAGAACAATAATCAGTCTGTCGGATCTCCTCTGTGAAGCCTTGGGGTTGACTGAAGTGGGCGGTGCGAGAACCTTGTTGCTCATAGCTTTGGTGGTGTGAAAAGCCATAAACGGCCTCTTGAATGAAATTGTGGAAGGGGTTAACCTCTAGGTCTCTTCCAATGCAACTCGAAACCAGTGGTCAAAATGTTAAACAAATGAAGGAATGGTTGCACATGATGAGTTTTGATGATTAAAGATCTTTGCATGTCATTTTGTGTCTCTATCTGTGCAGGTCAGGGCTATGGTGGGATTGTACCACAGGCGGTGGACCCAGAGAAGGATGAGTTGACTGCTGCTCTCTGTGCTAAGGTTTCTGAAAACGTCAAGAAGTATGTGGAAGCCATGGAAAAGGTACATGAGCAGTTTTTCATTTCTGTTATCAGGTTAAACTAACTTAATAGAGGTTATTAATTACTGAGTTGATTATGGGATTGATTGTAAAGCTTGCTGGACGTGAGAGGCGGGAGGAGAAACCAGCAACTTGCATTGCACACAGATCCTCCCCTCCCCGACCCCCCTTTTCCCCTCCCCCACCCCCCCTTTTCCCCTCCCCCCCTTGAAGCTGTTGATACTGACAGACTTTTGCATGAAGGTGGAAAAGAGGGTCCGTGGTACAGTTGTTGAGTTCAGTTTTAGGACCGTTGCCTCATTAGCCTTGGATGTTTCACTGAACACCGGAGTTTCAGTCTTTCTTTTTGTGTTTGAGGTTTGTTGGATTGGTTGATCGCATGGCCTTGTTTTTGTTTCCAGGTGTTTGACATCATAGAAATCAGGCTGTGCGGCGTTGTTTCTTAGTGGACCGCGCACCTGTGTTTCTTCCTTTCGTGTTCATTTTGGAGCGTTTGACATCATATGCTGGTAGCGGCCCCAGGGAGGAGGGCTGTTTGAGTGGTTGACATTTAGGTGGTCCGACGAGTGTGTGTGTGTGTGTTGGAGGGGGTTGTGTGTGGTGTGTGGTCCAATGATCTCTGGGTCACGTCTCGTGGATTCACCATGGGCGGGGTAAGGGAGCCAGGTTGGGTAGAGGTCTTAGGTCTAGATTAGGTTAGGTAGGAATTTGTGTAGAGATGTGGGCCTGGCCTCATCTGTATCTTACAATGCTTGCGGGCTGGACTTCGAACATCTGGGCTGGTACCTGTCTGTGTTCGGAGTGTTCCCACTGAGGGGGGTCGATTGGGGCATGAATTGGGGGAAGGATCTCTGGGTAGGGGTCTCATCTTAGGCAGGGGAGGGTGGGTTGTCGCACTGATAGTAGAAAAAGCTGGTAGACACCCATAGTCTGCTAGATGTGATACAGGTCGGGAATGACCACATATAGGTGACCCCTCTTGCGTCTCGGTCGTCCTCAAGAATTCGGGAAGTCCCTATGGTAGCGCCCGGGGGGGACTTGTCTGAGACCCTCGGAAGGTGCAGGTCGGTGTAGGTCTAGGTCTAGAGACAGGTCTGGGTCGCACCCCCGTAGGGTGCGACCTGCGATCTGATTAGGACAACAAAAAATTCACGAATGATGCCCCCTGGAGGAGACTGTCCTTGGTGCTGTCACAAGCCAACTGATCTCCCGCTGGTCGAGTACAATGACAGGCACCTCCGAGGCCTAGCATCCAGCCTCTACTTCGATTTGGACTTTCTAAGTTTCTATTACAAAAAAAAAAATTAAAAAATCAGGCTATTTGCATGTGCTCACTGTGCTGTGATTGCAAGCTTCCAAGGTGTTCCTGAGCCCCGTGGTGTGTTTGTGAACTTCCTGCGAATAGCGGTCTGCTCCGGTGTTTGTGAATGAGTGTGAGAAGGCGAAAATGAAATGTCTTCCAGGTGTCCTCCTCTCGTCAGTTACTTCTTGAACGATATGAGGCAACCTCAGGGCATACTCACACTAGGACTTCCCGTGATGTATCTCATTGCAATTACAGTTGGGCCTGCATGGATCTGACTGCAATTTGCGTCCGGAGCTCAATTGCAAAAGTTGTGTGATGAGGATCTGAACGTCTTTCGGATGCCTTTTTGTAATCCGCTTGTTCACACTTGTGTTAGCAATTGGAAAATTTCAGGGCGCAGGTTTTATTCTGTGGCTTTGACAAATTTGTATTACGCACATTCCTAATATGGAAGTTTGGAAAGCATTTTGGACACCGGTCTTCTTTGCACAGTAGTCTACAAAGTCGGACTTCCTTTTTTGTGAGAAGTTTTTTTTGTGTGTGAGAAGGTTGGTGAAGAGAATAGTGTTCACATTCCTATATCTTTCGTCAAAAAGAAAAAGAAAGGGGGCAAAGAAAACAGTTCTATTATAGAACGATGGATGCTGAATATTCTCTTCAATCGGCTTTCTTTTTTCAGGTGAAGCTTAAAGCTGGTCTGAAACTTGCAATGACTATCTCAGGCGATGGGAATCAGTACAACCAGGTCAGTGACTTGCTAACTTGCCACTTGACATGACAATGTGCCTGTGAAATCTGTGTTTGCATTGTGTGGTTTGTTTTGCTTGATAATTGCTTCGCTGGCCCGTTCGTTCTTTTTGTGGCTTTGTTTTTTTTCAACTTTTGTTCCTTCGTTCTAGTTTGACTGCAAGTCTTTAGTGACATTGAGGGAATATGAGTTGTGGAGTGTACCGGTGGTAATGTATCCTACTCATCATGGCAATTGTGGTCTTTTAACTTCCCTCCCACTTCCCCTTCTCTCAGCTGCACGCCCTCCCCTGCTCTTCCTCCTCACACCAGTTACATATATGACTAATACGACTATCCTGTTTGCAAGATGTCTTTCCCTGTTCCTCTAATGCTTATGCATAGCACCACCAATTGGCTTTCAGTGTGATGGTGGGCAAAGCAGAGACAGTTGATTTTGCTTCTGTAAAGAGTTGCCGTGTGTGTGTGTGTGTGTGTGTGTGTGTGTGTGTGTGTGTGTGTGTGTGTGTGTGTGTGCGCATGTGAGTGTGTGTGTGCGTGCATGCCCACGAGTGCGGCACACACTGGCAACATGAAATTAGGCACAGCATGACCATCAATCAGTATCATTGTGGTCATCACAGCGTAACGGCATCGCCACACCACTCTCGAAATGTGCAAAATGAGAATGAACGTACTGCTAGAACATGTCCGGATGGACCCGCCACATTTTTGTCTTTTGACATTTCGTCAGTGGTGTGGCGATGCCATTGCCCATTGTAATCTGAGAGCTCTTTTCTTCTTGTGCAATCTTTTCCCATCTGCAGACAGAAACATATTATATGATCAGATCACAGTCAGAGAATGTGTTATGTGATGACAAAAAGCTTGACCATGATGATGATGAAAGCTGTCAGGGGTAGCAATGACGTTGAAATGACATATTCTCTTTCGTGCTTTTCAGGACAGTAAATTCTGGGAGCTGTACAAGAAGAACCCTGAGAGGTGTGCAACTGTGATTGCAACAGCAGCAGGCCTTGTGCGGTTGCTTGCAACACTCATGGAGCCATTCATGCCCACCTTTTCAGCAACGGTATGTGGGTTTTTTCCACCTTTTTCAGCAAAAAGGTATGCTGGTTTAAGCTGCAAGTATATTTTGCACCTGTGCAAGATAATTGGTTTAAGCTGGCTATTAATGTGTGGAAGGTTAAAAGTCTTGGTTTGAAAATTCACCTGTGTACATTTGACTGATGGTTGGTCGATTGCATTTGCGTCATTGTGCAGGTGCTTGGCCAATTGAACTTGCCGTCGTCGAGCCTTTCGCTGACCGATGCAGACGTGGCAGCTGTGTCTAAGCTTTGGGAACTCATTCCAGCCGGTCATAGGATTGGCAAACCGGAGCCTATTTTCGCAGAAATGGTGAGTGCTCGCCTGGTTCCCTTTTCTAATCTTTCCCTAGATGAGTCGAGCTGAGCGCAGTGAAAAGAGTCAGGTGAGTGGTTATAGTTGAGATAAGTCGACTTGAGTTGAGTTGAGTTGAGTTGAGTCGGACGGTGTCGTGTCTATTTGAGTCTGTGTTTAGTTTTATATGGTCTGACTCAGATTGAGTTTTGTTGAGTTGAATTTTAAATCATTTTGTAAAAGTCCTGTAGTTGCTGCGAAAAAGGATGTCGTAGCTTCCACAAAAGTAATCGCAATTAAAGCCTTGGGTCCATATTCAAATAAGGGAGAACACCCGCTTGCCATCATGAAAACACCTGCTGAGGCTGCTGTTAAAATTACCATAGTAGCTGCATGAATCAGATCTGGCACTGGGGTAGGGCCCTCCATAGGGTCCAGTAACCCAAGTATGCAGTCCTATTTGTGAGGATTTTCTTACAGGTGATTGCGTTAAGATGGGAGCTGGGTTCAGGTGGCGTTGTGTGTGAACTGTGGTTAACGCACGAAGCCTGTCGTCAATCACTACCGTCTGCCCCCGAACAGAATGCCCGGCCATTATAGCTGTATTCGGGGCAACAATCGTCAATCTAGATATACATGGATAATGACTGGCTGTTGTATCTGGGCGAAGATGGTATAGGCACTAGATGACAACAGTTGGCTGTCTTTGCAACACCACTAGATGATAGATGACATCTTTTCAATATTACTAGACACTAAATGACCTATACGTTCTTGCAAGGAAGACGATGTTCCCCTCTTTTGCTGTTTATGTTTTCCAATGACATGACATGGGCTGCATGTTCAACTAGGACCCTCTATTTTTGGCCCTCTATTTTTCTCACCTTGACTGACAGTATCTTACGATGTGCTTTGCTCCTTTTCTATGTATCCTTCTCTTTGGTTATTTGCAATGCCACCAGTCAAATGAAGAAGTGACAGCTTTCAGAGAAAAGTTTGCAGGTAACCAAGCAGAGAGAGTGGCCGCAGATCTTGCAGCAGCATCCATTGCAGGTGCGGATTAAACTCTATAGTATAGCCTATTTTCCCAATCCTTTTTCTCAAGAACTGTGTTTTCTGGTGATATGAGCAGATTGAGGTGTTGTTGGGGCATGACAATTGCAAGATAGATTGCTGCCAAGGGAGAAGGACAAGAAGGTGGCGAGTAAGCAGCAGAAGGAAGGAAAAAAAGAAATGTATGTTTGCGATAATGGTGGTCAGGAGTCTTATGACGGTGATAGTAACTTGCGCATGTCACTTCCTCGCCCCTTTCGGTCATGAGCTGGCTTAAGAGAATTTTTTTACAGATTGAGGTGTTGTGTTGTCTGGGCACGCCTCCAGGTTTGCGGACAGCTAGCTGTCAGGATGTCCCTGCCCTGGCAGGCCTAGTGCCAAAAAAGTTTGATGCCGTGGCCCCGCAAATAGTTTGATGTGTGGTAACCACACTGCGAAGCTGCTAAACTGCTAATCGTGTTGTAATCTTTTGATTCTTTGTGATGATCGAATGCGAGGTTAAAGGCGGTTTGTCCCAGCGACAAATGCCAGACAGCTAGAAGAAACTCTCTATCTTTGACATTTCTTTGAAAACAAATTTGGTGTGCAGATCCTGCAGCAGACGCGAAACCGGCTGCACAGAGCAAAAAGGGAAAGAAGAATGCAAAGGAGGGGGGGTCAGCAAAAGTGCCTGCAAAACCTGCCGCGGCAGCAGCGCCTGCACCTCTAGATGTGTCAAGACTGGACCTCAGAGTTGGGCTCATCAAGAAGTGCTGGAAGCATCCAGATGCTGACTCGCTTTATGTGGAGGAGATCGACGTTGGTGAAGCACAGCCAAGGACAGTTGTCAGCGGGCTTGTGAAGTATGTGCCGCTGGAAGAGATGCAGGTCAGTCTCCATCAGCCCGCCCTCTTACATACCCTTTCGAAGGATTGTACATTCAGTGTTTGTCAGAGCACCGGAAGAATGGATCAGAGTCTTCCTACCGTCTTCACCCGAATAGAACGCCGGGTCATTATGGCTGCATCTGGATTGAAAGTTGCCCCAAAAAAATACAGTTATAATGACCGGGCGTTCTATTCGGGTGAAGACGGTAGTGTACGTTCAGAGTTTGTCAGAGCACCGGAAGAATGGATCGGAGTCTTCCTACCGTCTTCACCCAAATAGAACGCCCGGTCCTTATGGCGGCATCTAGATTGAAAGTTGCCCGAAATAAGGCTATAACATACTTGCAAGAGGACGCCGTCCGGGCGGTTCCGCACATGCGGCAGACCACCGGACCGGACCCGCGCGGCACACAACTGTGCGCCCGACGACCAGTTACGCCCCACACTGCCCCCCCCCCCAAAAAAAAACGCCCCCGTCCGGTCAGGGGGGAGGGTGCCGCACGCGGCAAAGCGGACTGGACCGGACGCTTGTCCGGTCCGTATGCTTGCAAGTATGGGCTATAATGATCGGGCGTTCTAGTCGGGTGAAGACGGTAGTGTCTGAAGAAGAGTTTGGAGTCTCCAGTATGTTGGAAGGGAGCTCTCTTGTCAGCCCAGTGACCCCCATCCCTACCCACCAAGCAACAGGACGGACGTTCAGGGCCGGAGTTATGCTGTTTTGTGAGATATCAGGATGTATCAACGTTAGACGCTAGAGTTGCTTGCTCTCACAGTACCTACCACCTATATATGTTACCGGCTTCTGTTGGATTTAGGTTCGCAGGTTTTTTATCACAGTTTTTTAGGGTTTAAGTTTTTTTTTTCTGAATCTTAGGGTTCTAAGGGCTTATAATTTTAGGGGTTAGAGTTTTAGGGTCAGAGTGCTTTGAGCCAACTGAGTCACTGCAGATGACGCACCTAAGGCACATAGCATCTGGTTTGCGCTGCAAGTTCTCTGTTGTGTGCTGTGGTGTTAGTGAATTCATTGCTATTGTTGAAGGTTGAGCACTTCAGCATCCAATATCAGGCATCTAATCACCAGTAGATTAGGTATGCTGGAAGTGAGAGATGAAAATGGAGAGATGATGTGTGCTACACATGATTTGAGATGGTGTATATGGGCGGATCAAGTAGATAGATAGATAGATAGATAGATAGATAGATGGATAGATAGATAGAAAGGAATCAGCTATTGTTGTGAAGTGTTATGAAGTGAGGCGCTGAGGGTATTGTTGTTGATCTGAATGGTGCGCACTGCTGCCGGTTGAAATCTGGTGCCTGTTTTCATTGTCATGAGACTCTGGTTGTTTGTCGAGTGACGTTTTCCCATCTCGTTGCATTTCCTTCACCTGTGCAGAATCGGAAGGTTGTTGTATTATGTAACCTGAAACCAGTTGCTATGAGAGGCATAAAGTCACATGCTATGGTGATGGCAGCGTCCAATGCAGATCACTCCAAGGTATGTACCAAAGTGTTCTTAACTTACCTTTTCTCTCCTTGCAGTGATATTTTTTTCCTTGTTTTTTTTTTTCTTTTTTCTTTTTTAGACTTTTTTTGGTTTTTTTTTTTTTTTTTTTTTGAACCGGACCCAGTGCCCAAGGCTAATGTTTGCAAAAGAAAACAGTGGAGGCTGGGGTCCTCACAGTCTACCCGGAATCTGCCAGAGTGGAGTCTGGGAGTCTTACCGGGTTTCGCTTTTTACAGGACCCAAAGGGGGACCCGATCCCTAACGAAAAATCTGCAATTCAGAAAATCAATTGCTACCAGCCCTTTCTTTCTGCCATCAAATAGAAGGGAAAGCTAAGCCGTCGCTCCCTCCAAGTAAAAGTTGTAGGGAATGGAACCATTCTTCTAGTATCAAATGCCAACACACAGCTATCTACTAAGTCAATCTATTGCGAGAATTATTAACAGTATAGGGGGTTATGACTGGGCTAACATAAGGACTCGTGGAGGATTTCCAAAATGCTGAACCATAGACCCTTGTTTGTCCTGGTACCTGGTCCATGATGAAGCCCGGTTTTATTCGTGGTCCTCGGTAGTCGGTGGTGTAGAAAGACAAAGAAGAAGAAGAAGAAGAAGAAGATGGTGATTCTCCTCCTATTGTGAACAATCATCATCTGATCTTGTGTAAGTTGCTGTACTCATCTTCTTGTCTATGTATACGCATTCTGTGTAATCCTGTTTTCCATTTTGGGGGGTGGGGTATTTCTATGTCAGACTCGACCATTGAAGTGAACAGGGTTTCATGGTACAGCACACTTGCAAGATTCCTTTTTGACTGATTCCTTAAACACAAACTGAATTATGATGTCCTCGTTTCTCTGTCCGTCTGAATTAATGAATTGGCTTTGACAGGTGGAGCTGGTAACGCCACCAGAGGGTGCTGCCCCAGGGGAGCGTATCAATTTCCCAGGATTCAGTGGCCCTGAGCCGGAGCCTATGCTCAACCCAAAGAAGAAGATGTTCGAAGCGGTTCAGCCTGACTTCAGAACGACATCCGATCTGATCGCTTGTTATAAGGATGTCCCATTCACCACTTCATCGGGCGCTTGTAGGGTTGCATCCATTGTCGGTGGGACGATTCAATAGGCTGGTATGTGGATCGATCGCTTGGGAAGCTATGTTGTGGGGGAATTGCTTAGATCGTTGTAGATTGAGCGAGTGATGTGTGCAAGCGAGAGTGAGTTCAGATTCCACTGGGGATCACAGAAGCTGTGTTGGCAGGTCCCTGCGGGTCTGGATTACAATTTTGTCCACCTCATCGAATGGCTTGCAAATTTGCAAGCTTGTATGTGAGGGCGGCTTGTTGTTCTGGCGGTTAATGATTGAGATATGGCAGAAATTAAACTGAAATTTATGGGGGAAAAAAAGGAAATTGAAATTGAAACAAGGGCTTGTGTCATGGAATGACATCTGGTTTGCCTTTTAGTTGAATCCGAAAGAAGCATCTGAGGTCAAAATTGAAAAATCATTATTGAAATCCGAATAAGAGCTTTGCGTTTTGTAATGATGTCCAAACTTGTTTGGGACTCGTCCCTGTGCTCGTCCTCTCTGATATGCATGAGGAGGTTGACCTATCAGCTAATTCTTCACTCTGGTTGGCAGCTCTGCTGTTTGCATTTTGGCGCTACACCTGCATTCGTTGTGGAGTTTGTGGACTCTACATGTCCAAAGGGTTTGTGTGTGTGAGTGTGTGTGTGTGTTTTGATGTGTGTGCATAAAGCACTCCATGGCAAGTTACACTATGCCAGGCATACTGCTCTGATAACTTGCCAGGCATACTGCTCTGATGACACGTCACCGGCACACCCCAAGCTTAGGAAAAGTCGCAAGTATGGCCGATTCTAATTGCGGCGAAAAAAACATCTACTCGGATCTCCAAGTGATCCCGGCATCCCATGAATCCTTCCACTGTTACGTGAATAATCCTAGTGCTGGCCCAGATAAGTCATCTCTCCGGTGCCCTTGGCTTGGCTCGTTGAATGTGTGAGCACCGCGCCTGCCTGCATACTTATTAACTACAGGGGTCCTATCGGCTTGGGAGATTGCTTTCTTGCTTACGTAAGATCCAGCTGTCCCCATTCTCCGCCGATCCTAATCAACAATGCATGATAGTGTCGTAACTTCCTTGCATGGAATCGGTGTAATGGATCAGCACCTCACAACGGCTCAAATGAGGTAGAGCGTCGCCTATCGATTTTGACAAGGCGATGCTCCTCGGCAGAAAGCAGAGGGAGGTCCTATCCCAGTTGTGAGAGTCAACTTATAAGTTACGCTGAGGCAGGACGAGATAAAGGCAGAGGAAAGAACTCTCAGGTAGGGGGGTTCTTTTTTGGGGGGGTTACCTTTCTATGCAACGAGAGACTGATCAATGCCTAAGCAGATCAGTATCTCGCCACACCGTTCCGGTTCTCCCGCGTACGGAACAATACTAAAGACAGAGTGGTTGAGCAACCCGACAGTTTCCAAGGATTGCCTCTTTTTTAAAGGCGATATTCTGGTGGGAAAAAAAGATAAAGTAGACAGCGGAACCATGCACGAAAGACCGCATGCTCGAAAAAATAGGCAGTCATGGATCAAAAAGAAATGCACGAAAGATCGCATGTACGCAAGAGAGAGGGGTTCAGAGTGGATAAGACAATTGTTCACATGCAAGCGACTCGTCATCCCATTAAGATCCCCAAATAGTATTACCACAAGCCATGTTAGAGTCAGCAAGGCATCCTCCGAGGGTTTTTCTTTTTTTGGAGGGGCAAAACCCTGGTGGGGCGCTTGCTATATGTTAAGGCAAAGATCCTGATCTTAAGAGGCAGAGCAGTAAAGTTCAGATGAAGTAGAGAGTCGCTTGCCGATTTCGCCAAGACGGCGCTCCCTCGGCAGAAACCAGAGGGGAGTTTCTCTCTCACCCGTGAGCCATGCAATGAGAGTCAATTCATAAGTTCCGCTGAGACAGAAATAGATAAAGGTAGAAGAAAAAATCCCCGGTAGGTTTTTTTTTTAAGTGAGCATGTAACGAGAGACTGATCGATGCTTAAGCAGATCAGTATTTCGCCACACCGTTTCGGCCCCTCCGCATACGGAACAATATTAAACACAGAGTGGTCGAGCAACCCGACAGTTTCCGAGGATTGCTTCTTTAGAAAGGTGAAATCCTGGTGGAAAAAACGGGGGTAAAGTCGACAGCGAAACCATGAAAGATCGCATGCTCGAATATTCGACAGACATGGATAAAGAAAGATCGCATGCACGCACGATAGCTAGACAGTCAAGAAGCTTGACAGAGTTTTGAAAAAAAGTTTTCGACGGAGAGTCCCCCTCAGGGGGGTGAAAAAATTCCCTGGTAGGGTTTTTTTTGGGTTTTTTTCAAAAGAGAATGCAACGAGAGACTGATCAATGCTCAAGCAGATCAGTATCTCGCCACATGGTTCCGGCCCCTCCGCATACGGAATAATGTTAAACACAGAGTGGTCGAGCAACCCGACAGTTTCCGAGGACTGTAAATTCGAGAGCGAAACCATGAAAGACCGTATGCTCGAAAACTCGACATACATGGATAAAGAAAAAATGCACGAAAGATTGCATGCACGCACGATAGCTGGACAATCATGAAGCTCGACATTATTCATGCAATACTTTAACAAAGCACCGCTTTTAAACAATAGGGATGATGCAAGAGCAGAAAGACTCGCGAGACATTCAGTCGCAACTGAGATCCTAAACAGAAGAAGAAGAATCATCTACACAGAAAGTGCAAAGCTCCTCAAAAAGATGCGAAAGCTTCAAATTGCAACTGAGATCCTAAACAGAAGAAGAAGAATGATCCCCACATAAAGGGCAAAGTTCCTCGAAATGATGCGAAAACTTCAATTCGTTTATTGAGAAGTACATGCTCCGACTCAAAAAAGCAGCTACCCATCCACAGTAATCATGGTGCCAAGAACATAGGGAGAAATGGAAGGACGAAGGGAGGCGGAGAGAAATAAGGGGGAGAGATAGTCCTGCACCGTGCAGCCATTTGGCTCTGTTACCGCTCAAGGCGCGAGAACCCGCAGCAGATCCACAGGAGGGAGTGGCATTTCCCTGAGGCCTTTCTGCCGCTTGCCACGCGCGGCTTCATCAGAGGGAGAGAGGAGGGTAAGGGAGAGGAGAAGAGGAGAAAATAGGGGGGCTCGTGTGCCGTGGAAAGGACAGAAAAGGTTGGGTAAGGGAGAGATTGAGAAAGCGTTCCCCCTTTTTTTCTCTCGTGCGCGTGCACGTGCGTGCTGCCACTAGCTTGCCAGAGCTTCCAATAGAAGAATCCCGCCAGTTGCTATTGCACACACTGCTCCCGCCAGGAAGATAGCTGCATAGGCAATGGAAAAACAGACGAGCGCAGTCGCGAGCTTGGCTGGGGCGAGAAGGACCTTCTCCGTTCGGCAGGCCCAGACAAGGGAACCGCTAAGGAGCGCATTGGGGATGAGTGCCATGATCAGCGTTGATGCGCAGAAGATAATGCGCGCAGTGCTGCGTGCGTTTGGATCGGCGATTGGTGCAGCGGTAGGATGCTGGGGGGAGGGTGGGCAGGGGGGGCCAGTCGGAGCTCAGGTGATTGGGGGCGCGTGACGGTGGGGGCGGGGGAGGCGGAGGAGGTGGTGGCGGTGGTGGGGGTTGGGTGTCCAGCGGTGGCGGAAAGTCCCCGGGGGGGCACTCCAGGCGGTGCTCCAAAAGGGCGGGGGGAGGGGGGAGAGAGGAGGAGGAGCATGGTGGCACAGCGTGAGTGGTTGGCGCGCATGGTGAAGGAGGTAGCGCTGCAATGAAGCCGAGGAGCGCTAGGCAGGCGAGCAGTGAGAGGAACGAGACGAAGGCGCAGGACAGTGCGCCCTCGCCAGCTTGGCGCTCATCAGTTCCTTCGCGGATCGCCATGCCACTGCACTAGGCTCAGCTTGCGCGTCGGTTAGGCTGCTCTGCTGGGGGCCGGCGGTTCCTGCGTGTGAGACAAGGCGCATGCGGATGCTTGCTAGATGCGGGGCTATACCGGTTCCTGAGACTCCATCGGGTCGTCAATGAGGTCCAGGTCCATGAAGAAGTCCATGTCGATCGGCCACTTTCTCTTGCTCAGATTCCCTCTTGATCAGCTGAGGAGGCCACTTCCAGATTCTCCGGCGAGTAATGACGAGTCGCTACAGTGCCCGTTCCCAGCTATTTAACCCGGCTCGGGGAACCACAGTTGCTAGTCGCAAAAGGACGCCGTCCTTACGCCGCTTCTGCTCGTTTCGTAGTACCACATCGGTCGGTTGTACGTGTACTTGGCCTGCTTCCCAGTTCCTATTCATCGAATCGCCTCCCCAATTTGGTCAGGTTCCCGTTGTATCCTTACCGAATCCTTCCTCTGGTCCTCACAATCGCTGGTCCGGGGATTCCTCTTGACGCCGATGCTCCGTCGTGAGGTGACAAGGGCGGTTAACCAAAGTGCCAAGTGGCCGGGACAAGTACAAAAGGGCAAAAAGAACACAAAAGAAAAAAGAAAAAAGAAAAAAAAGGGGGAAAAAAGAAAAAAAGAAGAAAAAAGGGGGGAAAAAGGGGGTGAAAAAGGAACAGGAGAAAAAGACAAGGAAAAAACAAGGAAAAAACAAGGAAAAAGAAGAAAGAGGGAAAGAAGAAACAGGGGGAGGGGGGGCAGGAAAAAAGGATGGGCCCTCTTTTTTTAAGACGCGGGTGGGAGGGTACATGACCCTTCGAGAAGCGAAATGACTGGCTGCTATGTTATCGGTAAATTCCTGTGTTGTTCCTAAGCGCATGGGATCGATCCTGCGTATAGACATGGCGGGAGCGTAACTGTGTTGGTCACTTTATTGGATAAGGGCGGGGAGCACTTATGCCGGCGCTCACCCGGCCTTCGCCACCTTATTGCAATTTCCCTTAAGGGAAAGAAAAGGGAAAGACAGAAAGAAAAAAGAAAAAAAAGAAAAAAGAAAAAAAGAAAAAAGAAAAAAAGAAAAAAGAAAAAAAGAAAAAAGAAAAAAGAAAGAAAGAAAGAAAGAGAAAAGAAAAATGGAGAAAGAAAAAAAGAAAAAAGAAAAAAGAAAGAAGAAAAAAGAAAGAAAAAAGGAAAAAGGATAGACATGGCGGGAGCGTAACTGTGTTGGTTATTTATTGGATCAGGGCGGGGAGCATTACGCCAGCGCTCACCCGGCCTTCGCCACTTTATTGCAATTTCCCTTTAGGGAAAAAGGAAGCAGGAAAAAAAGAAAAAAGAAAAAAGAAAAAAGGTGGGAAAAAAAGGGAAGAAAAAGGGAAAAACCAAGGGGGGAGGGAACGGGAAAAAGGATGGACTGCACTGCCCACCATGGGTGGTGGTCCTCGAATCGTGGGTAGGATCAGGGCTCCCCCCCACCTCGTTGGAAGACTGCCATCGATCCTTGCTCCGGCCAATCATCCTCTCCGGTTGAGAAGGAAGAAGGAAGAAGGTTCCTGTGAGCGTGTGTGTGTGTGTGTGTGTGTGTGTGTGTGTGTGTGTGTGTGTGTGT